CTCAATTTAGATAATTCAAAAGTACCCAAAAGTGGCCACATATTTCCCAGACTATCCTTAGTGAGATTATGACAAATGGATAAATACAAGCAGGTAGCAGAGCCACAGTGCTTGTCCATATATCATGCAGGAGTCCCAGTAGGGAACTCTGTATTGCCCCTAGATATGGCATTTTCCATTTTCAAAGAAGGTTTGAGTTTGTTCAAAGTTTAGAATTCTCAACAAAATCTTGATGGGGGGCACCAGAGGGGTTTGGACAATGTATTGCTTAAACCGATGTGTTCCTTTTCGTTATGTGAGTTTTTGTTTGTGGCTGGCAGGCAGCCTAATGCTCTGGCCTGTCTCAACCTGGCTTATCCTGCCATGGGAGACTGACTGCCTCTGTGGCAGGTGACCACTGTATCAGCTTTTACTGGCCAGCTTGTGCCCTTTGTTTTCTTTACTTATGGAGCTTCAGATTCCACAAACTCAAAAACCTCTAGGACAGTAAATTGCCCACAACTTCACACTACTGCTGCTAGTGGAGGCAAAATTTGGCAAAAAATTCTTGTAAGACCAGAATGAAAACAGACAAGACAAAACAACACAAAAACAAAGCAAAACCATATCCTTTGATAAGTCTCAATGCACTTCTTAGGCAAGAAGGTGCAGCTTGAGGTTTGAGACATTGTTTACCAGCTGGCCGTATCAAGGAGACTGTGGAGACTGAGCGGCTCAAGGGGCCTGTGCTAGTACCGAAAGCCCTGGGCCTTCCTTTGGCTCTTCCAGGTTGCTGAATATACTGCACCTTCAAATTCCACAATTCTGACACCAAGAAACGTCAAAGAGCTAACTGGAGTCTCCGTTAAAGTTAAAGCAGTTTTACTGAAGGAATAAGGCAATCTGGATTGGGAAGCACTTCGTGAGGATTCACAAAAGCACTCCGGTGAAAGAAATTTTTGACAGAGTTTAAGTACAGAAAATACAGGAATTTTTTCCCTGACTATATGTCGTCTTATTATATATCTATTCTAATTGTTTGTTTGGAACTTGTTCACTACTGTATGTCCAGTGCCTAGAACAATAAATATATATTGACTGAATGAATGAAGACTAGCTTCACATTGGTAGATAGCAGTTTTGGAAAATCTCTGAGATATTCCTTCACAACTTTCTGTGGGGAAAGATGAATGAAGGTGAAAGCAGGGGAATCAATCACATGGGGAAATTTTTTCCAAATTAGAAGTGCCTCCTCCAACCCAGTCAACTAAATAATATATCTTTCCCTAAAGCCTGAAACTGGTTCCATAAATACTACTGTGATTCTTTCATATAAGTTAAATGTTACTTGATAAAATTAGTATATTCTTGGCAAGTTCATGAAAAGGGGATCTTCAGTTTTTTCTAAATACAGGCAAACCTGACATTTGGACATTTTTATAGTGATTGTAACTATATAAAAATATATATGAACAAATTTCTCATTAATAGACAACTGGACCTTTGAGGGTTTTTTTTCTTTCCTCTTGGTGCACAGTTTTTAAAGATGCTATTAAGAATTCTATAAAAAAGTTTTAGCAAATGTGCTGTCTACCTCCCAATTTTGTGTTAACAGAAGACATGAGCTTCTAGACATGTAGGAAGAGTTTTGCCTTACAAGAAAAGAACCCAGTGTGAAACTTAACTTTTTTTAAAAAAAGAAATTAATTTTTAAAAATTTTATAAAAAGATTATTTTAAGAAGTATATTTCAGAAGAAAGAAAAAGTTGAGTTGCTTTTGTATGCAGTATTTACATTTTGTTTGCACAGATTATATTTTAACAGCTTTATTGAAATATATTTCATGTGTAAAATTCACCCTTTGAAAATGTACAACTCAGTGGCTTTTAGTACATTCATATGCTGTATAATGTCCATTTGAGCAATGTCTAACCATATAGACATCTGTGGTCCCATAAGGGTTTTTTTTTTTTTTAAGGGAAAGCAGTGCTCCTTTTGTTTATTATTTTCCTCTAATTGTTTTAAAGACCTGTCCCCCCACAAGCCCCAGAGTGAATGAGCAGCAGGGCTCCAGGGTGCATCTCAATTCTCACAGTTCCTCCTCCTCCTCCTTCCCGTTCTCCTGGCTTCATTCACCTGCGCAGTAGCTGTGCAGCCATTCATTTCCAGTGCAGGGCAGCACCTGATGTGGCTCCTCTGCTCCTGCCACAGGCGCCAGTTGGGGCGCCGGCCAGGCCTGGGGCCCTCACGAACTCCTGGCTTCAGGTGGCAGCAATGGCAGCTGCATAGGATCAGGAAGTGGCTGCACCAACAGGGCGGCAGCAGCTAGGGCCACCACTGCCAACCACACACCCAGCATCTGCACACCCACTCCCTGCCTGGTCCCTGTGGCCACATTCCGCAACCCCTGTGCACCCTTCCACCCCCTGTGCCTTCTGTGCAAAGTCCTGATCCGGCTGCCAGCTCAGCCCCCATATGGCCCTTAGTCACAAACCTGGCAAGGCCGGCCTGCTATATCCAGTGGATACGACTCTTGGGCTTTGTCTGGTGGGCTCCCGTAAGATTTTAATATAATAGGCTTTACGGGGGTTGGTTTGTAACTATGGATTTTACGAGGACTATTTATATATAATCTGGTGCTTGCACAACGTCCAAATCTCATAACGTCCTATTTCACAGAACATATCTTAGATTTTAAACAACTCTTGACTGTATATTCACAGAGTTGAATATATTAAACCACTATCTAATTTTAGAACATTTTCATCACCCCAAAGAGAAACCCTGTACCCATTAGCAGTCAGTCACTTTACACTATCCTCTCCCCCAGCTCTCGGCAGCCAATAATTTATTTTCTGTCTCTATAAAAACCAAACCAAACCAGCTGCCCTTGAGTTGATTTTGACTCATGGCAACCCCGTGTATGTCAGAATAGAACTGAGTTCCATACAGTTTTCAGTGGCTAATTTTTCTACTGAGGTGCCTCTGGATAGACTCAAACTTCCAACTTTTTGTTAGCAGCCAAGCACGTTAACTGTACCACTGAGGGACTCCTCTATCGCTATGGATTTGCCTATTCTGGACATTTTCTAATTGTCAGATCATACAATACGTGGCCTTTTCACTCAGCATGTTTTCAAGGTTTATCCATGTTGTAGCATGTATACTTTATTATTTGTTATGGCTGAATACTCTTCCTTTGTGTGGGTATAGCACATTTTGTTTGTCCATTCATTAGTTGATGGACATTTGTATTGTTTCCACTTCTTGGCTCTTAAGAATAATACTGCTTGCATAGACAATTTTTTTTTTTTTTATTGTACTTCAGGTGAAGGTTTACAGAATAGTTTCTCATGAAACAGTAGTGCACGTATTGTTTTATGACATTGGTTAACAACCCGATGACATGTCAATCCTCTCCCTTCTCAACTTTTTTTTTTGGTGAAAATATACATAGCCAAAGATAGACCATTTCAAAAATTTCTACATGCACAGTTCAGTGACATCAACTATGCTCTTCCAATTGTGCTGCTTTTCTCACTTTAGATGAAGGTTTACAGAACAAAATAGTTTCTCATTAACAGTTAGTACACATGTTGCCCTACGACAATGGTTAACAACCTCACAACACATCAACACTATCCTTACTCAACCTTGGGTTCCCTATCACCAGCTTTCCTGTCCCCTTCTGCCTTCTAGTCCTTGTCCCTGGACTGCTGTGCCTCATTAGTCCCATTTGGTTTTATGGGGCTGTCCACTCCCCGGCTGAATGGTGAACCTCGGAAGTGACTTCACCACTGAGCTAAAAGGGTGTCTGGGGGTCATACTCTCGGGGTTTCTCCAGTCTCCTTTAGGCCAGTAAATCTGGTCTTTGTGAGTTAGAATTTTGTTCTACATCCTTCTCCAGCTCTGTCCAGAACCCTCTGTTGTGATCCTGGTCAGAGCAGTCAGTGGTGGTAGCTGGGCACCATCCAGCTGTACTGGACTCAGTCTGGTGGAGGCCTTGCTAGCTGTGGTCCATTAGTCCTTTGGACTAATCTTTCCCTTGTATCCTGTTCTCTTCACACTCCCTTGCTCCCGGAGGGATGAGACTAGTGGAGTATCTTAGATGGCTGCTCACAGGCTTTTAAGACCCCGGACATTACTCACCAAGGTAGAACGTAGAACATTGCCTTTATAAACCATGTTATGCCAACTGAGCTAGATGTTCCCTGAGACCACGGTCCCCACAGCCCTCCGCCCAGCAATTCAGTCCCTCAGGGAGTTTGGATGTATCCATGGAGCTTCCATGACCTTTCCTTGTACCAAGTTATGCTGGTTTCCCCAGTATTGTGTACTGTCTCACCCTTCACCCAAGATACCACTTATCTATTGCCTATTTAGTATTTTCCCCTGCCCCCCCTCCAATCCCTAGTAACCAACAAAAATTGTTACTATTTGTATGTGAAGTTTTTCATGGGTTTTTACAATAGAGGTCTCATACAATATTTGTCCTTTTGTGATTGACTTATTTCACTCAGCATAATGTCCTCCAGTTTCATCCATGTTATGAGATGATTCACAGATTCATCATTGTTCTTTATCGTTGCATAGTACTCCATTGTATGTATTACATAGACAATTTTTTAAAAGGAGATGAGACTTGCTAGTAACTACCACTGGGAAGTGGGAATGGAAATGCAGTGTGAGAAGGAGACATTTTTTACCTTTTTGCTCTAGGTGATTTTTTTTTTTTTAACCAGGTAAATATATTACTTTCTAATTAACACAAATAAAAAAAAACCAATCGCTAGTAAGTAATTTTAGGTAAGTAAGTAATTTTACCTCTCTGGTATTCAGTTTTCTCATTGTAAATACAATTGGACTAAATATTTTTTATGTCTTTCAGTTTTGAAATTATATATACATATGTTTACATAAGATTAAATGAGTGATAATATAGGAATTTTTTCTTTATAAATGCAATGTAACTTTCAGTTTATTTTCATCATAGGACTTAGAGTGGTTATTACAATGGAAGGAACAAATAATTTCAAGACGCCAAGCAAATTATCTGAAAAAAAGAAATCTGGTAAGATTGTTATTAGAAATATCTTAGTATGACTGTTACTTGATCCTTTAATTATTATGTATCATTCACAATCAATTTCAGCATAAGTTCCCTTTATAATGTCGGTCTTGACAAATAAGACTTATTTTATTGGCTGGGGTTTGGTCATCTGAAGACTAATTTTATTAACATTCTAGTAGATTCAGGAGTTCTCTGTAGTGAAGACTCAACTTAGCCTAAATCATTGAGAAACTACTTTTCTACGTTTTCCTTCCCATACATGAATTGCTCTTGTGAGGGAAAGATATTTTCTTAATGGAGAAAGAATAATCCTTTCAACAAATAGTACTGAAACAATTGGATAACCCATTGCTGTCCAGTAGATTCTGACTCATAGTGACCCGTAGGACAGTAGAACTGCCCCATAGGGTTTCCAAGGAGTGGCTGGTGGATTCCAACTGCCGACCTTTTGGTTAGCTCTTAACCATACCCTTATGCAAAAAGTGAACCTTGACCCTCAGCTCACACCTTAGACAAAAGGGTTGAAACTATGAAATGTCAAGAAGATAACATAGCAGAAAATCTTATTTATTCATTTCTAGTGCATACAGTTTTGTATATTGCCCTTGTATCCTCTGACTGTGCTAAACCCACTTTTTAGTTCTATCAGCTTTTTTATAGTTTGTTGGAGATTTCCTACATAGTTGGTCACATTGTATATAAATCTTCTTTCCCCAAGCCATATTACTTTTCTTTTTCTTGCCTTACTGGGCTACCTCCAGTATAATGTTGAATAAAAGAGGTGTAAGTGGACATGCTTGGCTTGTTTCTGATGAAGTATTATGCTAGAGGTACATTTTTTACGGATGCCCATTATCAGGTCGAAGGATTTTCTTTCTATTTCTGGTTTACTGAGAGGTTTTATCATGAGTGGGTATTGACTTTTGTCAAGTGCTTTTTCTGAATATATTGAGACACAGTTTCCTTTTTTAGCCTGTTAGTGTGACAAATTACATTAATTTTTGGTTGGTAAACCAACTTTTTATTAGTGAGATAAACTCCATTTTGTCATGATGTATCATCCTTTTTTATTACTTGATTTGATATGCTAATATTTTCTGTGTTCATGAGAGAGATTGGGCTGTAGTTGTGTTTTGGAATATCTATCTAGTTTGGGTATCCGGATATTCTTACTCATAAAGTAATCTGGGAAGTGTTTCCTTCTTTTTACTTGAAGAGTTTGTGTAGAATTAGTAATATTTCTTCCTTAAGCGTTTGATAGAGTTCACTAGTAAACAAACCCCCTGGGCCTGGAGTTTTCTTAGTGGGAAAATTTTAACTATAACTTCAATTTTTTAAATCCGTATTATTAGTCAAGTTACCTATTTCTTCTTGCCTGAGCTTTGTGTTTTTAAAGGAATTTGTCCATTACTTATAAGTTGTCAAATTTATTGGCATTTATTGGCATAAAGTTATTCATGATATGCCCTTTTAATGTCAGTAGGATCTGGGGTGATGTCTCCTTTTATTTCTGAAACTGGTATTTTATATTTTCTCTCTTTGTTTTCCTTAATCAGTGACTTGAGGTTTATGTTTTATAGATCTTTTAAAGATTTTTCTTGATTTTTTTCTATTATTTTACTATTTTCTATTTCATTGATTTTTCCTTTTATCTTTATTATTTCTTTCTTTCTGTTTACATTGGGTTTAATCGTTCTTTTGCTAGAAAATAAATGAAAGGTCAATTATTGTTTTAGACCTCTTTTTCTAATATAACCATCGAAAGCAATTAATTTTCCTCCAATTTACAAAATATCAAAATTTGTGAAATTGGAGGAAAATTTATTGCTAGGAGGTTTAAAACAATGATTGATGCTTCATTTGTTTTCTAGCAAAAGAACAATTAAATTTTTCAGTCATTTCAAAATAATTTCTAATTTTCTTTGAGATTTTTATTTTGACCCATGGGTTCCTTAAGAGTATGTTGTTTAATTTTCAAATATTTAGAGGAATTTCCAGATTTTTTTAGCTATCGATTTCCAGTTTAATTCTATTATGGTGAGAGAACATTCTCTGTATGTTCTCTACGATTTATTAAGACTTACTTCCATTTTCCCCTTACTGTCTTTTGTGCTATTGTTGTCATATGTTTTACTTTTATATATGTTATAAATCTCACAATACATTGTTGTTATTAAAAAGTCAATTACCTTTTAAGAAGATTAAAAAGTAAAGAAAAATGACTTAGGTTTTGTGACATATTTACTGTTTCTGTTGCTCTTTATTCCTTTGTGCCAATCCACATTTACATCTGGTATCACATTCCTTTTGCCTAAAGAACTTCCACATTTCTTATAGTTGATGAATTTTCCTGCTGGTGATGAGTTTTTCTCAGCTTTTGTTTGTCTGAAAGAGTCTATATTCTCTTGTAGCATTCTATATCCTAAATAAAAGTAGAATTCTCATACTTTTTGAAGGACATTTTCAATGGATATTGAATATTAGGTTGTTAATTTTTTTTTTCTTCCAGTACTTTAACGATGTCATTCTTTTGATTTTTGTTTGTTTGTATAGTTCTAACAAGATAGCTGCTATTTTCTTATTTTTGTCCCTGTAGGGTCACTATGAGTCAGGATTGACTCAATGGCAACAGGTTTTTTTTTTTTTAAATCCTTGGGAGACAGGCCTGATGGTCTGCTTTTGAAAAGTCACAGCCTTGAAAATCCTATGGAGCAGTTCTATTCTGCATACATGGGGTCTGCATGAGTCGGAATCAACTCAGCATTAACTAACGACATGTAATGTGTCATTTTTCTGGCAGCTCTTGGTATTTTCTTTGTTCATAGTTTTCGTCAATTTGATTGTGATGTGCCTTAGTATAATTTACTTTGTGTTTCTTTTGTTTGGGCTTCATTTTGCTTCTTGGATTTGTCGATTTATCATTTTCATCAAATTTGGAAATTTTTTGGCCTTTATTTTCTCAAATAATTTTTTTCTACTTCTCTCTCCGTTTCTGGGATGCCAGTTACAGGTATGTTAGACTGTTAGACCCCTTCATCTTTATCTCTATTTCTTTTTTCTAATTTTTTTTTTACTGTGCTTCATTTTTGGTACTTACTATTGCTATGTCTGAAAATTTATGTATCTTTTCTCTTGCTCTAAGATGCTGTTATTCCTATGCATAGTATTTTTCGTTCCTTGAAATTTAATTTCATGTAACTTTTTAATATCTTTTTCTTTCCTTGTGCTCATATGTTCTTTTACATCATTAAGCATATTTTTAAGATTTATATTAGCTTTTTAAGGTTCTTAATTGCTAATTCCACCATCACTACCATTTTATGTTATGTTTCTATTGGTTTATTTTTCTCTTGGTTATGATTCATATTTTCTTGCTTCTGTCATGCCTGGTAATTTTTTTGTTGGATGTTGGATATTTTATGTTGTTGAGTGCTGGCTTTTGTTACTTTAAAAATTTTAAAGAGTTTGGTTTTTGTTATCCACAATTAAGTTACCTGAAGATTAACTTGACCCTTTTGAAGCTTGCCTTTAAGCTTTGCTATGGTGGGTTCAGATAAACTTTTTTTGGGCTGAAATGTAGCTGTACTACTAAGTTGTGAGCCTATAAAGGATTTTCCCCAATACCTTGTGTCTTAAAAGGTTACAGCACGCTGGCTGATGGTAATGTGAACCATTCCTAGACCTATGTGATCTTCACTAATTGTTTAACCTACTCTTCTCCTCTGGTGCCTTCCTCAGCTTTGGGGAATTCTACCCATTGTATGTGCAGATAAGCACTTGACCAAATATTCAAAGGGGGACCCTTTTCAGATCTCTGGAGCTTCCTCTTTCTGTGCAGCTCCCTCCTCTTTCATTTTTTTGCCCCACAAATTCTAACCACCTCTCTCTTCTCAGTCTCCTCAGTTTGACAAGACCACCAGGCTCTGTGAGGCAACCTAGAAACTTCCTTCAAGCAGTAAGTTAGGGCAATGATAGGGCTCACTTCATTCGTTTCCCTTCATTCATGAATCACAGGCCTGCTCTCCTGTTGTGTTGTCAGTTGTCTAAAAGCTGTTATATTTTGTTAAGTTTTCTAGTTTACAATGGGATGGCACTTCCGGGAGCAGTTAATTCTTCATGAGCAGAAACAGGAATCCTCTCTCATCTCGTTTAATGGCTGTATAATGCTGTGTTATGTAAATGTACTGTAATTTATTTAATTATGCTTCTAATGACATAATTTTGATTTTTTGTTTTTTTATCCACAAAAGCAAATTGCAATATTTAAGTATGTATGTGCCTGTGCATGTGTGTAATCTCTTTGGATGTGTGTTTCAGTGCAAGTGTTGGCAAACTTTTGTAAAGGGACAGATTGTAAATATTTTTGGCTTTGCAGGCCATGTAGGGTCTCTGTTGCATATTATTTTTAGTGTTTTGTTTTGTTCTTTTGCAACCTTTAAAAATGTCAAAATAATTCTTAGCTCATGGGCTATACAAAAACAGGCCATTTGCTGAGTCCTGCTTTAGTGATACCTAGCATAGAGCTCCAAAAGTAGATTTGGTCAAAGGATATCCATTTAAAATTATGATGGATAGTCAGTCTGCTTTCCAAAAAGATTACACCTATTAATACACTTAACATTCGTATGTTGAGAATGTGAGGATGCATTTGTAGAGGCCTTTTCAAATACTAATTTTATTTTTATTTTTATTTCTGTTTCTGACATTTAGTTCCATGTTCAACTCCATGTATAAATATTCCTGCCTCTCCGTTTATGCAGAAGCTTGGCTTTGGTACTGGGGTAAACGTTTACCTTATGAAAAGGTGAGTATAAGATTTCAGATTAACCTTTTTACATGGAACCCATAGTTCCACTGCACTTGGAGACAAAAAGGAATATGAAAATTCATGTATTTAGATTTGAATCCTACCTGATCCTGTCTGACTACTATATCACAGAACCTTTTCCAGAGCACTAGCTGGCATACTTTTCTCCAGCTGGATTACTAAAAAGGAGTAGTTTACCTTATACAGTAGTCCCCCCTTATCCACAGGGAATACGTTCCAAGACCCCCAGTGGCTGCTTGAAACCTCAGATAGTACCAAACTATATATATGCACCTACTCCTCACTTATCCACTATCTCATTATCTGACATTTCACATTTACGACAATAGTAAAAACTCTATTATCTGACTATTTTGCACGTTAACAAGGTGACAGGCATGGCGGCAATGGCTGTGGAGCATTCCTTCCCTTGAGGAGGGTCTCCGGGAGGATCCGTGAAGTTGGGCTGCACTGCCCTGTGCCCTCTATTCCTTCCTGCCAGAGGGATCGCTGTGTCCAGCTGGGGTGCTGGGCCGGCCTTGGAGTGAATGCAGGCAGCACTGAGTCAGCTAGTTGCCTATTCTGGGTTCCCAGCTCCTATGCAGCCTGAGGCCCTGCAGCTGAAAATTGCTGTGGGATAGGAAAGGAAGAAAGAAAAAGGCATCAGAGAGTGTGTTTGGAAGAAATACATACCAGTTTAATGACATCCTAAAGTGTGCCGAACTGGGCCTGAAGCCGCACGGTGGGACTGGTGTCCTGAGCCTTGGTGACTCACCAGGCCCAGAGGGCAGAGTGGGCTCTGGGATCGTGAATGCAGGGCTTGCAGGGGTGGGAGTGGAGCCGTACAGGTGGCTCAGCAAGGGAAGCTCTGACCTAGCACAGGAGGAAGGTGAAGTGGTTAAGCTGTGGGCCCTCCAGTATATCTTAGCTGTTACTGTTTCTGTGATCATATTTTCCAAATAAAAAAATCGGACAAATGGATGGTCAGCAAACGAAAAAGAGAATCCTCCATTTTTGCATAACACTGATTTTTGCGTAACAACCTGGTCTTGGGAATCTAACCATGTGGATAAGTGAGGAGTGGGTGTACTATGTTTTTTCCTGTACAGGCATACCTTGGAGATATTGCAGGTTCAGTTCCAGACCACCGCAATAAAGCAAGTCCCACGAATTTTTTTGTTTCCTAGTGTATATAAAAGTTATGTTTACACTATACTGTAGCAAGTGTGCAATAACATTATGTCTAAAACATATACATACATAACTTAATTAAAAAGTACTTTATTGAAGGCTCATCTGAGTCTTCAACGAGTTGTAATCTTTTTGCTAGTAGAGGGTCTTGCCTTGATGTTGATGGCTGCTGAAGGTTAGGGTGGTTGTGGCAATTTCTCAAAATAAGACAACAATGAAGTTTGATGCATCAGTTGGTTCTTTCTTTCAAGAAAGATTTCTCTGTAGCATGCAGTGCTGTTTGATAGCATTTTACCCAGTAGAATTTCTTTCAAAATTGGAGTCAGTCCTCTCAAACCCTGCTGCTGCTTTGTCAACTGAGTTTATGTAATATTCTTTGTTGTCATTTCAACAATGTTCACAGCATCTTCACCAGGAGTAGATTCCATCTCAAGAAACCACTTTCTTTGCTCATTCATAAGGGGTAACTCCTCGTCCATTAAAGTTTTATCATGAGATTGCAGCAATTCAGTTACATCTTCAGGCTTCACTTCTAATTCTAGTTTTATTATTTCCACCACATCTGCAGTTACTTCCTTCACTGAAGTCTTGAACCCCTCAAAGTCATTCATGGGGGTTAGAATCAACTTCCTCCAAACTCATGTTAATGTTGTTATTTTGACATCCTCCCATGAATCATGAATGTTCTTAATGGCATCTAGAATGGTGAATCATTTCCAGAAGGTTTTCAATTTACTTTGCCCAGATCCATCAAAGGAATCACTATCTATGGCAGCCATAGCCTTATAAAATGTATTCCTTCAATAACAAGACCTGAAAGTCGAAATTACTCCTTGATCCATGAGCTGTAGAATGGATGTCGTGCTAGCAGGCATGAAAACAACATTAATCTCCTTGTACATCTCCATCAGAGCTCTTGGGTGACCAGGTACATTATCAATAAGCAGTAATATTTTGAAAGGAATCTGTTTTTCTGGGTAGTAGGTCTCAACAGTAAACCATGTTGTAAACAGGCTTTGTTGTTCCATTTATAGAACATAGACTAGGTTTACCATAAATCTTATGGGCCCTAGGATTTTCGGAATGGTAAATGAGCATTGGCTTCAACTTAAAGTCACCAACTGCATTAGCCCCTAACAAGAGAGTCAGCCTGTTCTTTGAAGCTTTGAAGCCAGGCACTGACTCTTCTCTAGCTATGAAAAATCCTCACAACTGGACCAATAAACAACATCATGATAAACAGACAAAAGATTGAAGTTGTCAAGGATTTCATTTTACCTGGCTCCACAATCAACACCCATGGAAGCAGCAGTCAGGAAATCAAAAGATGCATTGCAGTGGGCAAATCTGCTGCAAAAGACCTCTTTTTAAAGTGTTGAAAAGCAAAGATGTCACCTTGAAGACTAAGGTGCACCTGACCCAAGCCATGGTGTTTTCATTCACCTCGTATGCATGCGTAAGCTGGATGATGAATAAGGAAGACTGAAGAAGAATTGACACCTTTGAACTATGGTGTTGGGAAAGAATATTGAATGTGCCAAAAGAACAAACAAATCTGTCTTGGAAGAAGTACAACCAGAATGTTCTTGGAAGCAAGGCTGGTGAGACATCCCACATACTTTGGACATATCAGGAGGGACCAGTCCCTGGAGAAGGACATCATACTTGGTAAAGTAGAGGCTCAGTGAAAAAGAGGAAGACCCTCAAGGAGATGGATTGACACTGTGGTTGTAACAATGGGCTCAAGCATAACAACGATTGTGAGGATGGCGCTGGACCGGGCAGTGTTTCGTTCTGTTGTACATAAGGTTGCTATGAGTTGCAACCCACTTGACAGCACCTAACAACAACAGGAAGGTCCTAGATGGTGTCTTCTTCCAATATAAGGCTGTTTTGTCTACATTGAAAATCTGTCGTTTAGTGTAGCCACCTTCATTAATTATCTTCCCTAGATCTCTGGATAACTTGCTGCAGCTTCTATATCAGCACTTGCTTCACTTCTTACTTTCATGTTATAAAGACAGCTTATTTCCTTAAACCTCATGAACCAACCTTTGCTAGCTTCAAACTTTTCTTCTGCAGCTTCCCCCATCTCTTTTAGGCTTCATAGAATTGAAGAGAGTTAGGGCCTTGCTCTGGATTAGGCTTTGGCTTAAGGGAATGTTGTGGCTCGTTTGCTCTTCTATCCAGACCACTAAAATTTTCTCCATATCAGCAATAAGGCTGTTTTGCTTCCTTATCATTCGAGTTTTCACTAGAGTAGCACTATTAATTTCCTTCAAGAACTTTTCCTTTGCATTCACAACTTGGCTAACTGTTTGGCACAAGAGGCCTACCTAACTTTTGGCGTATCTTGGCTTTCGATATGCCTTCCTCACTAAGCTTAATCATTTCTAACTTTTGATTAAAGTGACAGACATGTGACTCTTCCTTCCACTTGAACACTTAGAAGCCATTGTAGGGTTACTAACTGGTGTAGTTTCAATATTGCTGTGTCTCAGAGAATAGGGAGGTTCAAGGAGAGGGAGAGAGACGGGGAAATGCCAGTCAGTGGAGCAGTCAGAACACACAACATTTATCAACTAAGTTCGCCGTCTTATATAGGTGCGGTTTTTGGTGCCCCAACACAATTACAGTAGTGTTATGGATTGAAATGTGCCCCCCAAAAATGTGTGTCAACTTGGCTAGGCCATGATTCCAAGTATTGTGTAATTGTCCATTTTGTCATCTGATGTGATTTTCCTGTGTGTTGTAAATCTTATCTTTATGGTGTTAATGAAGTGGAATTAGTGGCAGATATGTTAATGAGGCAGGACTCAATCCACAATATTAGGTTATATCTTGAGTCACTCTCTTTCGAGATATAAAAGAGACAATCAAGCAGAGAGGGGGACCTCCTACCAAGAAAGCAGAGCCAGAACCCTTTGGAGCTGGGGTTCCTGCTCTAAGAAGCTTCTAGACCAGGGGAAGATTGATGACAGGGACCTTTCCCGAGAGCCGACAGAGATAAAGGTACCTTTCCCTGGAGCTGGCACACTGAATTCACACTTCTCACCTCCTAAACTATGAGAGAATGAATTTCTTTGTTGAGGCCATCCACTTGTGGTATTTCTGTTAGAGCAGCACTAGATAACTAAGACAAATAGTAACCTCAAAGATCACTGATCACAAATCACCATAACAGATACTGTAATAATGAAAAAATTTGAAATATTCCAACAATTACAAAATATGACACAGAGACATGAAGTGAGCACGTGATTTGGAGAAATGATGCCAATAGATTTGCTTTATGCCGGGATGCCATAAACCTTCAGTTTTTCAAAAACACATGTATCTATGAGGTGCAATAAAGCAAAACGCAATAAAATGAGATACGCTTGTATATACATTCCTAGGATAAAGTTTAATTTGTAAATTAGGCACAGTAAGAGTTTAACAACAATAACTTTGGCATATCTGAATTGCCAGCATCACTACTCTTGTACTTTGGGGCATTGTTAAGTAAAATAGGGATTACCTGAACACAAGCACTGCAATACCGCTGCAGTCGATCTGATAACCAAGATGGCTACTAAGTGACTAATGGGTGGGTTGCGTATATAGTGTGGATACGATGGACAAAGGGATGATTCGTGACCCAGGCGAAATGGAGTGGGCAAGTGCGAGGTTTCATCATGCTACTCAGAAGAGCGAACAATTTTAAACTTATAAATTGTTTATTTATCGAATTTTTCATTTAATATTTTCGAATGACGATTGACTACAGTTAACCGGAATTGCGGAAAGCGAAACCGCATGTAAGG